TAATCTGCCAATATCACAATACTCATACATTGTATATACTTAGCATAATACTCAGGGCAGGTGCCAGACTATTTTGCGCCCTAAGCAAGATCAACTACTTGTAATACCCCCCCCCCCCAAATATTAAATATTTTTTAAAATATAAGTGCCATAAGATGCCACCAGCACCAATATTAAGACAAAATCAGTGTCACGGACGGACTGTATCTTTGGCTGGAAGTGGCAGGGTGACAGTTGCAGTGAGTGGAGGATGATGGATCCACACTCTGACAGATCCCAGGCTGGAATTCCCCAGGCAATGGAGGGAGATAAAATTCTGTAACAGCAGGCAGCCCAGCCCACACACACAGAGAACACCTGAACTGAGTGATCTCACATAGTGACAGATCAGACACAACACACCAACACTGGCACAGATCAGCAGGCACTAGAAGACCAGGCTGTGGGATCGTGATGATGTCATCACTCTGTGACACATTACAAATGTGATTGATGGCCAGCCAAGTCACACTCGCACAGACATAAGACATCAGAGTCAGACATCACCTTCTTCCACAAGCACAGATCTGCCTCTGCTGATGAATGGGAAGAGAAGGGCTGGAACTCCATAGTGATCAGCAGCCGCCAGCCAGCTTGCAGTAAGGAGCCGAGTCTGAGAAGAACACTGGAAGGAGTGGCAGTCAGCTGCTACACCAGCCCATCCACCCAGCATCTTCCTCTGTCCTTTCTTCCTCCCATCTGCTGCCCCTCCCCTCAGCAGAAGGATCATTCATGACGTGATGCATCCCACACAGAGACAGTACCGGCCTGTGCCTGTGCTGCGTCCAGGTGCCCCTAGGTGGCAGTGCGCCCTAGGAGGCCACCTAGTTTGCCTAATGGAAGCACTGGCCCTGATAATATTAGTTCTCTTTTATTTTATAGATATATATATATATCCTGAGCATTATAAAAGCTTTCTTCTATAGACTCATATATATACTGAGCAAAATGCCATTTGACTTCTAAAGATTCATATACCGTATTTTTCGCTCCATAAGACGCACCTGACCATAAGACGCACCTAGGTTTTAGAGGCAGAAAACAGGAAAAAAAAATTCTGAACTAATGGACTGCAGACATAGTACAGGAGATGACCAGAGTCTGCGGTCACAGTACAGGGGATGACCAGAGTCTGCGGACACAGTACAGGGATGACCAGAGTCTGCGGACACAGTACAGGAGATGACCAGAGACTGCGGACACAGTACAGGAGATGACCAGAGACTGCGGACATAGTACAGGAGATGACCAAAGACTGCGAACAGTACAAGAGATGACCAGAGACTGCGGACAGCACAGGAGATGACCAGAGACTGCGGACAGTACAGGGATGACCAGAGACTGCGGACAGCACAAGAGATGCCCAGAGACTGCGAACAGCACAGGAGATGACCAGAGACTGCGGACAGTACAGGGATGACCAGAGACTGCGGACAGTACAGGGATGACCAGAGACTGCGGACAGCACAGATGACCAGAGACTGCGGACAGTACAGGGATGACCAGAGACTGCGGACAGTACAGGGATGACCAGAGACTGCGGACACAGTACAGATGACCAGAGACTGCGGACAGTACAGGGATGACCAGAGACTGCGGACAGTACAGGGATGACCAGAGACTGCGGACACAGTACAGGAGATGACCAGAGACTGCGGACACAGTACAGGAGATGACCAGAGACTGCGGACACAGTACAGGAGATGACCAGAGACTGAACACAGTACTGCGGATGACAGACTGCGGGCACAGTACAGGGATGACCAGAGACTGCGGACACAGTACAGGAGATGACCAGAGACTGCGGACAGTACAGGGATGACCAGAGACTGCGGACACAGTACAGGAGATGACCAGAGACTGCGGACACAGTACAGGAGATGACCAGAGACTGCGGACACAGTACAGGAGATGACCAGAGACTGCAAACACAGTACAGGAGATGACCAGAGACTGCGGACACAGTACAGGGATGACCAGAGACTGCGGACACAGTACAGGAGATGACCAGAGACTGAGGACACAGTACAGGAGATGACCAGAGACTGCGGACACAGTACAGGAGATGACCAGAGACTGCGGACAGTACAGGAGATGACTGCTTACCTTTGGGAAGGGGGGGGGGGCGGGTACCTGAATTTGACAGGTACCCCCCTCCTACTTCCGCGGAGTTGTTCTTTGATCTTACTTGTTCCTCTAGCCGCGCGCTGTCTACCCGGCTTCTGTAGTGTGGGCGCTCGGCGGACAGCTGGATGCCCAGTGCGCATGAGCGAGAAGCGCTGCGCTTTGTGATTGGTCCGGCGGCTTCTGGGATCTGTCATGTGTCCCAGGTACCGCCTCACCATTCACAAAGAGCACCGCTTCTTGCGCATGCGCACTTGGGACCCGGCTGTCACGCACACTACAGAAGCTGAGAAGACAGCGCGCCGCTGGATAGAGGAACAGGTAAGGTCCCACTGCAGAGCTGAGCGGCCGTCCCGGTATTCTGACACGGCGGCGGTGGAAATACCGGACCGTCCGCTCCATAAGACGCACTGACATTTTCCCCCCTTTTTTGGGTGGAAAAAAGTGCGTCTTATGGAGCGAAAAATACGGTATATATTGACCATATTTTCAGCTGTTATTTATATACAGTCAGGTCCATAAATATTGGGACATCGACACAATTCTAACATTTTTGGCTCTATACACCACCACAATGGATTTGAAATGAAACGAGCAAGATGTGCTTTAACTGCAGACTGTCAGCTTTAACTTGAGGGTAGTTACATCCAAATCAGGTGAACGGTGTAGGAATTACAACAGTTTGCATATGTGCCTCCCACTTGTTAAGGGACCAAAAGTAATGGGACAGAATAATAATCATAAATCAAACTTTCACTTTTTAATACTTGGTTGCAAATCCTTTGCAGTCAATTACAGCCTGAAGTCTGGAATGCATAGACATCACCAGACCCTGGGTTTCATCTCTGGTGATGCTCTGCCAGGCCTCTACTGCAACTGTCTTCAGTTCCTGCTTGTTCTTGGGGCATTTTCCCTTCAGTTTTGTCTTCAGCATGTGAAATGCATGCTCAATCGGATTCAGGTCAGGTGATTGACTTGGCCATTGCATAACATTCCACTTTTTCCCTTAAAAAACTCATTGTCCATCTGCACTGTGAAGCGGCATCCAATGAGTTCTGAAGCATTTGGCTGAATATGAGCAGATAATATTGCCCGAAACACTTTAGAATTCATCCTGCTGCTTTTGTCAGCAGTCACATCATCAATAAATACAAAAGAACCAGTTCCATTGGCAGCCATACATGCCCACGCCATGACACTACCACCACCATGCTTCACTGATGAGGTGGTATGCTTAGGATCATCAGCAGTTCCTTTTCTTCTCCATACTCTTCTCTTCCCATCACTCTGGTACAAGTTGATCTCGGTCTCATCTGTCCATAGGATGTTGTTCCAGAACTGTGAAGGCTTTTTTACATGGCGTTTGGCAAACTCTAATCTGGCCTTCCTGTTTTTGAGGCTCACCAATGGTTTCCATCTTGTGGTGAACCCTCTGTATTCACTCTGGTGAAGTCTTCTCTTGATTGTTGACTTTGACACACATACACCTACCTCCTGGATAGTGTTCTTGATCTGGCCAACTGTTGTGAAGGGTGTTTTCTTCACCAGGGAAAGAATTCTTTGGTCATCCACCACAGTTGTTTTCCGTGGTCTTCCGGGTCTTTTGGTGTTGCTGAGCTCACCGGTGCGTTCCTTCTTTTTAAGAATGGTCCAAACAGTTGTTTTGGCCACGCCTAATGTTTTTGCTATCTCTCTGATGGGTTTGTTTTGTTTTTTCAGCCTAATGATGGCTTGCTTCACTGATAGTGACAGCTCTTTGGATCTGATCTTGAGAGTTGACAGCAACAGATTTCCGAATGCAAATAGCACACTTGAAATGAACGCTAGACCTTTTATCTGCTCATTGTAATTGGGATAATGAGGGAATAACACACACCTGGCCATGGAACAGCTGAGAAGCCAATTGTCCCATTACTTTTGGTCCCTGAACAAGTGGGAGGCACATATGCAAACTGTTGTAATTCCTACACCGTTCACCTGATTTGGATGTAAATACCCTCAAATTATAGCTGATAGTCTGCAGTTAAAGCACATCTTGTTCGTTTAATTTCAAATCCATTGTGGTGGTGTATGGAGTCAAAAATGTTAGAATTGTGTCAATGTCCCAATATTTATGGACCTGACTGTAGATTGCATTTATTTTATATAGATTGTACGCTCCATGAGCAGGGCCCTCCTATTCCTTCTGTACTAAAATGTATTGTAATTGTACTGTCTCCCTTATATTGTAAAGCGCTGCGCAAACTGTTGGCGCTATATAAATCCTGTATAATAATAATAATATATATATGGAACATAACACCAGCCATCTTCTACATGTATACAGCTGGTTGCTCTTTTGGACCCAGCTTCCTCTGTCCCTCTTTCGTCCTCAGGTATCCACGATATCAGAGGTCTACCCTGGACTTACATTCATCCATCCACTACATTGTTGTATTTTTTGTTTCAAAGCAATAAAAAAAGAAGGCTGTGGCAAAAAGAGGCAGTTGTGTGTTAAACCAATCAATAGCTGTGTTAGGCCAGGTTCACACCTGTGCTTTTTTATATGAATTTTGCAGGAATGCAGTGCATGCCATTTATCATGATTTCCTATGATCACATTCACATCTATGCTTTTTTTGTGGGCACGTTTTTTGGAAAGGGTCAGGGACTTCTTTTCCCACAGCAGTTCGCATTTTTAGTCCAATAGACTTCAACAGAACCGCATATAGTGCTGCATTTTGCGTGCTGTTTTGATGCGTTTGGAATTTTACGTTACCTTTTCCTGACCGCCCTATAGCAGAAGTAGTCCTACAGGGTGGCAGGGATGCGAAAAATCACGTGTATTCATACATGAT